AAGTTTAAGAAAATTGGGGTGTTACAACACCGGGATTTGTTCCCCAAGTTATTGATGTTGTAGAGCTTGACTCTAGTTTTAGTTATCTTATTTTGTAGCATGTGCAGTCACCGTGAGGGGTGACTGTGGCGGTAGCACCGTTAGTTGTTGAATTGAATGGTTTTAAGTTATCTAAACCTTGTTTATTTACCTTATTTAAGTGTAATTATTTGGGATTTAGATTTTAGAAAAAGGGGGTGTTACAACAATCTCCATGAATCTTTTTTCGCAGTCATTAACTAATGTAGTGCAGGGTGATTGCATAGACACGATAAAGCCAATCAAATCTATTTTAACAAATACATAATTGTAAATGAGTATATGTGACAACATACACTGAAAGATAAAGTTACCATATACTAAAAAATATTACCAATTATCTTCTTTGTTGTCATAAAAGATCAGAGTGGGTAAGAATCCACTTTCATATCTAAAGGATTTGAAGAGGAGTAAAGGATTTGAAGAGGAGTGGAATTAGAATTATATTAGAGATAGGATTAGGTTTTTAAAAAATCAATATTGAGGGTCACCATTTGTTGGTTTTACTTGATGCATATAATTCTTTATCTTTTGATATGTTAAAGAGTTTGGATGGGATATCTTGGAATCCATTGATTGAAATTTTTAGAAGAATGCAATCTAATGGAACAAATGATGCAAGGTTGTGTAGTTTATATTATATTATTTTATTTGCATGATATATGGAAAAATGATTATGAGTTGCTTGATGAGTTGTTAGTGCATGATACAATATATTGCACTAATAAATATGATATGATTTGTGGTCCATTTGTTGGTATGAATCATCATTACATAAATGTCACATTTGAATGTAGAAACTTGATGAATAAGATAATTGGGCCATTTGTATAGTTGTTTAGAGCATTTTTTAGATCTATGGATGGTAGATATCCTCAAACTCTGTTGATTGTGCAATGTGTTGCTATTGCTGCTATTATTACACAAATGTTTTTGAATTCCCGCCTTGGCTTTATAAATGACATATTTGTGAGAATTCAAAGAAGCATATTGAAATGATTATGAAATTTCAAAGATTGAATGTTTCTTGTAACAACAATGAACTGAAGTTCAACAATTTTGTGAAGAAGCTTTTGAAAATGCAAAGAAAAGGATTGAATGTGAGATTTGATATATTTGTTATGAAGACTGTGATGTTGCATCTTCAAGTGTGTTAGGAATAATTTGTAATAAATTTTTATAATACCAAATGTACCTGAAATTTAGGATCACAACTCTTTTATTTTTGGGCTTAGGATTATTTCCATAAGTCTACAACTAAATAGTCTTAAAAAGAGGCGAATTATGCTATCCAAAAAGTAAGTATTCGGATGTTTGTAAAATACTTACAAGTATACTACCTGGAGAGTGTATAACCGGATAGTAAAGGACACTAGAAGTAAAATATGTTGGAAAAATAACATAAAATGGCATTAAAAGTGGCTATTTTGTGGTATCAATATTAGTTGGATCGAGTCAAAGTGGATTCAGGTTCTACATAGTGAGATGAAGAGATTGATATATTGTACACTCAAAATGGATAATGGGTGAATGAGAAAATGATTTTCGAAGTAGACCCATTTGAATTGGAAAATGAAGGTGGAAAGGCTTTAAAGTAGCCTTTGCCCCACATTGGTTTGAGAAGTGGGTTTGCACCACTATATATACAAGAGCCTTGTTAAAGAATATTGAATTGTATAGCATAGATGTTCTCTCTCGTGTGTAGGGAGTGCAAATCAAATTCCAAAATGAGCCTCGTGGGTATTGCTCGAAGTACTCTTCGGAGTATTGTTTTTAAATTCTAGAATTATTCTCCAAGTTAATGGTCGTCTGTTTTAAAGGTTACACAAACTTATTTTAATATTAGTATAAATGCTATTTATCCTCCTTCTCCCATATAAGCATGGTTGAGCATAAGATTTTAAAACACATCAACTCCTTCGTTTTTAGCTCTCGAAACACTGCTATTCCTCCTTTTTAACCAATTGTGTTCATCCCTTGTTCGCTTTCGATGGGTTCTATTGCTTGAGTGCTCAAACTTAAAACCGTAGCTTGCTATATCCTTGGAAACCTAGTCTACAACGCTCTTAGCACCTTTGAGAGGTAGCAAATAAGGTTTTAAGGATAGTGTGGGTATCACACGACTCAAGCTAACACCCTAAACCTTTTTCCGTTGCTTATGCTTGTTAATTTTTCCAGAAATATTATTTTCGTAGTAATATTTTGTAACAAACTATCCGAAAAGTTGATACTCGAATAGCCAAGATGCGAAGAGTACAAAGTCGTAGAATTGAAGGACCAAAGATTTGAAGACCTAAAGACTCAAAAAGTACAAGACCTAGATAATTCAAGATCTGTAAAGTCTAAATTACAGATAGTCCAAGATCAACAAAAAGTTGATATGACTGCATAAGAAGCATTATCTACCCACCCTTGCCAACGACCCTCTTCCCACGGACAGTCTCTACCACCACTAAAGAGAATTTCATAGGTGCGGATAAGCTAAACATAAAATGTCATATATTTGTCAAATCGAAGGTAATATGCCAAATATGTAATATTAATATTCAATTGTATGCTTTTTTTTTTTTTCCTATTTGAAGGATGATTTATGGAGGGTTTTTTTTTTTGTTTTTTTTTGTTTTTTGTTTTTTTTTTTTTTTTTTTAAGTTAAAGATTCAATTGAAGTATTCATATTTCAATGGTTTAGTTGACAATTTTCTACATTTAATTATGAATAAAGTTTAAATATTTCAATGAATAATTGTAAATAAAATATAATAATTATATTGAATTATTGAAGCTTATGCATGCTTTGGATAATAGCAATATGAGTTTGTTTTTCGTCTATTTGGCTAACTAAGAATATGTAAAAATAAGTGTTGGCTAGAGAGTTTCTCTCTCTAGAGAGAAGTCTCTCTGACTTCTCTCTAGAGTGCCAATGCTCAAGTGAGTTCATCCGATGTTCGTATGACAGGTTTCTTCGATTTTTAGTGAGATTGGCTACTGGAAGTGGATTCTAATATGCTTTCATGGATTATTAACATATTATAATAATATGTTTGCATGTTTTGATTTTTATTCATGTGCTTTTCGATTTAATAAATGGCTTATGTGACAACAGTTGTCGGTTTTCTTATGAGTGCTTGGCCGTCTACTACTTTACACCGCCGGTGGACTTTATCTTCTGGGATAAGGACAAAAACTCTATTTTGGATTTATCAATGGAGACATCCGATGGTTTCCCGGCGAGGACAAGTGTGCGACGGTCAACGGATTTCCGGCGACGAAGGCTTGTGCGTTTCCCGCTGGACTTTGCGATAGTGATGGCTCCTCTAACCCTCATGGTGCCGTAGATGTTGACTGCCCCCTGGGGTGGTCTCAGACCAGGCGCCCTGTTCCAATTTACCGAGGGTGGGGAAAGATCGCTGATGTTTTTCCGGCGGCAAGGTGCTTTCCATGACGACGTGATTCTTCTTTGCCGATCGTTGTTTTCTCTGCCGGCGTGACGCGAGAAACCAATTCCGACGCCCTAAGTTGACTCTACGGCGATGGGAGTGGTGACCAGCGAACCAAACGTCGGTGGGAGAGTTCTCTGCGGTTTCCGGCGATCTCGTGTGTTTGCCTCTGTTATTTGACCCCTGTATGTGGATGGTGTTTCTCTAAAATGGCGCCTGGAGTATGGATTGCATTGGAGATGTGTTTCCGATGGTCCTCGTTTTTTCCGGCCATGTTGGGGTGGTTCCGTCTGTGTTAGGGTGATTGCAATGGTGGTGAGCAAAGGTCCGGTATGTTCTGTTTGGTTTCATCTTGTTTGTGGATTTTTCTAATCTGAATTGGCGCTGGAGTTGGAGTGCGTTGGAGATGGATTCCGACGACCCTTGATTTTTCCGGTCAGTTTGGGTGGATTCCGTCCGTGGATAGGTGTTTCCGGCAAAGGTGTTCTATGGCCTTGGGATTTTCTGGTAATTTTCGTAGCAGGTTTATCGAGTTTCCGGCAGCATCTCTCTTTCTAGTTGCCGGCGGTTAACCGGTGGCGGTGAGCTCAGGTGAGTCATTTGGTTGACCGGCTTTGGTCTACGGAAGGTAAGGTGCCTATCTTTGGTATCTGCCGGATTTCTTGGATATTTCTATTATGAGAGATTATGGCTATGTTAGCTGATGAAGACATAACGCACGTGGTGCATGGATTATGGTTGCTGTAGACCGGGTCGACCCGTTTAGCTATGGGTTGACAGGGGCTAGAAAGTGTTTTTTTTTTTTTTTTTTGGTTTTTGTTTTAATGTTTTGTGTAATCAGGGGTATGCCCCGGTGTCACATGTATTTGGACATTTGATTTATATTTACATTCCGATTTGATGAAGAATATGTAAAAATAGCTTGCCCATCAATTGATGGGCAAACATTGAGAAGCAGAACATTTAAGAAGCCTAGTGGATTCTCAGTTTTAATTTTTTTTTTTAAATAATACTTTGTAATTAATAATTAATTAATATGAGGTTGTTTTGAGAAAAGATTAGTGTTTTCTAAAAATGTCGAATTGAAACGTTGAAAAATGTAGGGGGCGTTTACTAACAGGAAATTTTCAAGAATTTTTGGAAATTGAAAATTGAAAACAGTCTAGGTGTTTACCATGCTATTTTCTCATTTCCAAAATTGAGAATTATTCTCCTTTTTTCAAGAAATTAGGATCACAATCTAATGTTGTTTTCAAAACTGAAAATTCACGCGTGAACAGTACCAAGTTCCCCCATCGAATCCGGCCAGCATCATTTTTTTTCATTCTACCTTATTTTCTTCTTTCGCACTTCCGCCTCCAACACAAAGCAAGCTCAGAAGCTTACCGCACTTCAGATCCATCTTCGGCCAGCGTCATTTTTTTTCATTCTACCTTATTTTCTTCTTTCACACTTCCGCCTCCAACACAAAGCAAGCTCAGAAGCTTACCGCACTTCAGATTCATCTTCTGACGGCCGACGCTGCGACTCCAACTCTGCGATTGCGAATCCAACTCTGCGAAGGCCAGGCTCGGTGTGCTTCAGTTTGAAATTCTCATCTTCAAACTTCAGTCCATATATGGATTCTCCGCCTGTTCCATTACCCCTCGTGAAATCTCCACCTTGGCACATGAAGCCAGGAATAATGCGGTGAAATGCAGAGCCCTTGTAATGTAAGGGCTTCCCTGAATTTCCAATTCCTTTCTCCCCCGTGCAGAGGGCTCGAAAGTTCTCAGCACTTTGGAAGAACGATGTTAACTAGGTGAGATTTTTTATTTTATTTTATTTTAATTGTTGAGGGGAGAAGCCGCCCACTGAAATAATTTTCTGAGTCTTGTGGTTTGAGTCATGTAGGAGTCTACAAACTGGCAGTAGTGTAATACACTTAATACTCTTTTTCTCTATTTTTTATATATTAAGATTTAGTATAAAATTAAGTTGTTAATTGTTATTGATAATGCATTAACTATTATGGAGTATTTTGAGTATATATATATTATTTTTTTAAAGTGTCGCGTGAAAGTAAATATAGGTAAATAAATTTTCAATTTCAATTTTCGAAAATAGAAAATAGAATACAGAGAATCGAAAACACAGAATAGAAAACAGAGAATTGAAAACAAAAAATAGAAAACAGAGAATTGAAAACAGAGAATAGAAAACAGAGAATAATTTTCTGTTAGTAAACGGGCCCGTAGTGTTTTAGTTTTCAGAAGTTACCAAACAATTTATTTGACTTTTTGAGAGTTAAAAAGTCAAAATGAGATCTGTCAATAATAAAAAAAAGTCCTAATAAATAAAAAGTGAGGAAATTTCAATTTTGGTCCTACGATTATAGGTATCTTGTTAATTTTAATCCCTGACTTTTAAAAGTGTCAATTTAGTACCTTAATTATGTAATTTTTGTCAATTTTGACCACTCCGGCCAAATTGTCGGCTAAATTTCGCCGAAAAATTTTAATAGTTAAAATAATGAGGGTATTTTAGTCATTTTACTTATTTATTCTTTCTTCTTCGACGGTTCATCTCTTATCCCCAGCTTCCGGTGATACCGACGAATGTCGATTTTGCGGTGCCGTAGGAACCGTAAAGCAGGTAACTCCGTTTCCAGACCTGGCCTAGCCTGTGATAATACTGCTTCGACTTGAGAAACCCTTCCAAATCAGACTTCACCCTGTTCTTCAGATCCGAATCCATCACCATCGTATCAATCGTCGCCGGATGCGTGAACGACACTGACATCCACCTTCCATTCCTCTCTGATTTCCTCCCCACATTCACATACAGTCTTAATCCTTCTTCGGCTCGCGCTTTTCAAACTCATCTCCAAACTTTTGCCATTTTGTTCAATTACAGAGCTCGTAGAGAAAACCTTCCGGATTTGGAGGTTGCGTTAGCCGTTGTTGACATCCCAATGAGCTTCTTCATGGTGCTGCAAATAAAGGTGTTTGGCTGGTGCAAAAGCTCACCGGAGAAGCAAATCAAGGTTGTCGTCGATCATAATTTGTTGTTTGGTTGTGTTTATTTTTGTTGTTTGGTTTCTTGAACTGTATGCCACCGTCGCTCCGTCACTGCTGTTATTGGCTTTGGAAAGAAGAGAGGACCAACTCATCCGAAACAGGGGGAGATGAAGGACGGCGGCGGCAGCGGCTTCAAGAACGGAGGAAGAAACGATCGCCAGAAGCTGGGTATAAGAGATGGACCGTCGGAGAAGAAAGAATAAACAAGTAATATGACTAAAATACCCTCATTATTTTAACTATTAAAATTTTTCGACGAAATTTAGTCAGAGTGACCAAAATTGACAAAAATTAAATAATTAATGTATTAAATTGACACTTTAAAAAATCAGGGACTAAAATTAACAAAATCTCTATAGTCTTAAGACTAAAATTGAAATTTCATCATAACAAGGCAATTTTAACCAATAGAAAGTTAAAGGAACACATGTTAACTTAAACGTGACCAGGACTATGTGGTCTAATGGTACCCGGATTAGATTTTCATTTGGAAGATTATGAGTTCGAGCCTCAGTGATACTACTATGTAATAGAGCCAGTAGCTTCCAAAAAACACTTAAACGTGATAAAATTAATATTCTTAAATCACATTAACTCATTTAATAAACTATTGATTGAATATATTTTGCGAGACTGTTATTTATTTGTTCATTAACTCATTTAATAAACTATTGATTGAATATATTTTGCGAGACTGTTATTTATTTGTTTCACCGATGCCTTCAGGTTTAGGTTTAGGTTTAGGATACAGATGATGGACGCTGCCCCAAAGTCCAAATAAATACGGAGTAGATTACATACATTATAGAAGGAGCCAAAATTTGAGTTCAAAAACTGTCCGTTAAAGATCACCAAACTTTGCCTCTTCCCCAACCTGCACGCTGCCATTACCTAGGGTTTTGAGGTGACCGTTCACTTTCTTGCAAATACAAGACTCACATACCACTTATTGCACAGAAACCACCATGAATTTACCAACTAATAGCTACGAACCCATGCTGAGAGAGTCAATCAATCACTTCTTGGCTTCTTACCGGAACGGTTGCTCCAATTTCTCGGCGTTTGAGTCCATTTTCTTCCGATTGGTCCAGACAATGCCCGACCCACCTCTCGAAATCACCTGGTTCTACTCTGCCGTGACTTTTCACAGTTCAAGAAAATCAACTCTCCTAAACCCTCTTACCAAAGCCCTTGTTGCTAAAGACTTGCTTCAGTTGCTAATTTCGTGCTCAAAGTCGAGTTATGGGACCAAAAAGATAGCATTGCTCGCACCAGTTTTGTATGCATTATATGATGCAGTTTGTGAATTCTCTAACGATGGGCTCAGTTTCATGGGCGAAGTTGAGACTATAGTGGAAAAAATGGTTAATTACATCTGTATATGTTGTGATGATCTTGAAATTTATAATGAATGTGGTGATTTGGTAATTTGTTTCGAGGATTTGGTAGGAGTTTGGACTCTTGATCGGGTTGATAAGTGTAGTAATGTTGAGAATATGGCGGCGCTTTTTCCATTTCTGAATAATGGGCTTTGCCGTTGGGTTAATAATCAAAGATTCTCGATCAGAAATTTAGCCGGGATAGTTATGTTTCAGGTGTTCTTTTTGAGTTTGAGCTTGAAGTTTCAAGTGGGGTTTTCGCAAGGGGAGTTGCAACGTGATACACTAAATTGGGCAGTTCAGACTATGAAAAGGTTTCAAAACTCCTACTTTCTAGGTATGTTTATTCTTTTGATCTGTTTTCTGGGTATGATTTTGCTTGCCATTACTTCAAACTCTGTTATTTGGACTCAAATTTTCTATTGATTTGTTTCTTGCTAAAGAAAAACAAAATAAAGGTAAAAAAAAAATTGAATATGGAGTTGGTTCTGTTGATGTTTCTGATGGTGAATATTAATTCCTCATGCAAAACATGTTAGTAAATTCACAAAAAAGAGTTTTAGTGAAATAACTGCATTATCAGCTAGAACTACAGTTACAAATATGATAGTCTTTAAAACTCTTCTTTCCAGCCAGTTGACCTGAACTTTACACTAATAATCAAGTGATCGATTGTTGGGAAGACTAACAAAAGAAGCAGCAATGTTTTTCAAATATAACTTAGTACTTTTGAATGGAAATGCCATTACGGGATTTTAAGCAATATGGTTGATCAAAAGGTCCCTGTACTGTTGTAGCCTAATCAGTATAAGTGCAGAAACATATTTTAGAGTGTATCTTAAGATTTTCACTTGTGATATTGTTGAATGTACTGATTCTCATTTCTCTATTAAGTTTAGATGAAACATGATGCACAATAATATCTTTTTATTATATTCTCTTGGTACATTTGATGGGGGATGAGGGTGGTGGGATTCAAACCCTAGTCTGCAACCTGAAAAAGGGATTAACTTACCACTAATCTATTCCCTGAAACCCATGATGCACAATACTCTTTGTTGAATTGAAATAATGAAATAGAGTTTCAAATTGAACATTTCGATTCCCATGGCATTTCTTGTTAATCTGTAATTAGAATTATAGATGCCATTCTTAGTTGTATGGTTTCACTTGAAAGGGCATTTTCTTTTAGCTTCTTCCCATCGGTGGGGGGTGTGGGGTGTGGGGATATGTTCAAAGAAAGAGAAGTATCCTAATAGATACGCACATCTATGCATGCTGCTAAGCGGCTACTAGTAATATACACCAATGATTAATGTGTTCCTGTTCTGCCTACCAGATTTGCTTCTCAGGGTGTTGTTGGAGCCCAGTTTGCCAGTGACAACTATTTTGGTCAGTAAATACATTTCATTGTTTTTTCATTCTTGAAAATTTCAGGTGTAAATTGAAATTATACAATTTTTAATTTTCCTAAGTACCTATAGTTACCTGTCGTTTTGTTTTTGCCCTTGTAGGCAAATGTTCCATAGTTAAAACAAAACTTCCTTGACATGGTAGAATGGTTCTTTTCTTTTGTTATTGCTGCAGAAATTGGACAATGCAGTCCTTCTACAGAAAGTAGTTTACGATGCAGTGATACTTGTTGATTATTCGTTTCTGAATTCTGGAAGATGGAATCAAATACTTAACAACCATTTAAAAGATTTAGCTCTAGTATGGACACTTGTTGCTGATGTTGCAATACATTTTGCTAGGTATGCAAAAAGTCCATGCTGAATTTGATATTTATGATCATAATGTGCTAAACATAAATTCTTAGGAGTACTTCTTTTGTTGAAGGGACATGAGAGATGAATCAAGGGCCGAATCTTATGTTACTGCTTTCTCTGAATCTCATCTACCGCCTCAATTAATTAAATGGGTTACTGACCAAGTATACACAGAACAGAACTCAAGTTTACCAAAATTTCCCATGCCAAAAGCTCTTATCAGTGAGTGTCACAGATTACAGATTTCTACTTTTGATTTACTAAGCTTTCATGTATTTTATACCTTTAGAGTTTAGACACACGTTCTTTATCCCATTTATCTTGATGACAAAACTCAGGTTTCTCAGACTGCATAGCTCATTCTTTTCTAGCAAATTGTCAATAGAATGAAGTTCCAGTATCACATGCTTAATTTTTGCCAAAGAACAATTTCTCTGACTTCATTATAATTTGTATAATTTTGTATTTCTTTTACAAAACTTCAGGACATTTTTAACTATATATATTTCTACTTTTCTCCAATTTTATAGAGTGGTTATTACTCATTGAGGATAAAGGGCATCTAGTCTTCAGTGAGAATGAATTGAAGAGACATGCCAGAGCAGCAATTTGCAAGCCAATGATGGTGCATGGGAATCCAGAATGCAAATCGGACTCTGAATACTCTACAGAGAACCTTTGTGGTAAGGAGCCAAGGCAAAGCCAAGCCAGTGGGGATGAAGAGATGGTTGACCCGTTGGACAATTCATTTCCGGGTGCAACCTTTTGCCTTGAAATTAAGGACAACTAATGGGGGCAGAAAACACAAAAGAGAGGTGAGCGATGTAAGAGAAAGGCGGCTCAAGCTTGTCAAGTATAATGTCTATGAAACCTCAAATGGTGAGAGACTATTGCCTTTCTCTGATGAAGATATGGAAGTTATGGGATGATAAGATGCATACCATTAACCATTTTGTTGTGTATCCGAAGCACCAAAGTAAGTGCAAATCATAGCATTAGAAGGTTAATGTAGTTCTCTCTTAATTGGAGTATAGGTGCATATTTGTAAGCACTCAAAAATCAGGATGTAGAATGTATGTTTTAGAATAACTTGTACTTCAGTTCATGTAATAATAATAACACTACCTTTATCATTTTATCCCACTACTTTTATCAAATTCTATTTTAAGTAGTCTCACTAACTTTATTATTATCTACTATACTATACTAGTAATAATAGCCCAAGACAGTTAGGCCTATAATGGGTATAAAAAATGACGGTCAAATTTTTTAATCAAATGAATGGCTTAGATTGATCAGATTTTAATTTTTACTTTTATGTTAAATATTACCTTTTCTATTAGTTAACCATTAACTTACTCATTGATTTCAATAAAAAAGGTCTTAGGTTCGAACTTCATCCCAATCAAAGTTGGCATAATTAATACTTTATTTTACTTTATTAAATTAAAATAATAATTTAGTGGCTACAACAAAAAAAAAAAATACATATGTATTTCTTTAATTTAGAATTATGTGTTTACAATGTCTTCATT